GCATTACTTCCAAAACATTATTTGTTTTAACATGTGTTGCATGTCTCGTATTTCAAGGCTGAATGGTGATGACTATGTGCATTGAACGACAGTTTGCATCACTACCATGATGACGCCATCTACGAATATATGATTACATTAGTTTACAAACAACATGTACATTAAGTATATATGTTAGGAAATAATTGAAGAATATATATTTGTAATGCATTTTTTCGATATCATACATTTTTATTAAATGTACATCAGATTTTGACTGATTTGTTGAAATAATATACCAAATCCTTGATTAGCAAAGGTCATACAAGAAAGTTTACAAGTCACACTATTATAAACGACTGACATATACATTACTCTACATGATAGTCAAATCCGTATGCGATATATAAAATATATGGTCCTTATGGTATACGTGAAGTGATGTCAAGTGTTTCGAAATATTCTACATCTTTCCACACATCATCATTCTGTAAGAAACCGGAGGTTAACATAAGATATGTGTCATTGATCCCGTCTGAAATCATCTGTATACCAAGTTCATTATGCTAAAAAGCTAAGAAAAAATTCTCTTTACAAAGCACAGTAAATTCAGGGCACACATGTAAGTATCAAACTGGATTATATCATTGAAATATAATGTTGGAATTGTTGATGAAGAGTACATCATCAATATATCTGCATGTTGAGATTAAATGATTTGTCTTTTTTGTTTCTTTTGTTTTTGTTTGTCCGGGTATCCTGCGAAAAAGGAATTAATCGGCAAGCAATGGAGCACTGGCACAATGTGTTACTATTAGAATATAAATACTTTGTTAAAAGATATATCCTCCAAACTTGACAAATATGGTATCAATCAAGAATTCTTGCTTAATAATAATAATAATATCTTCTTCAATGTAGAAAAGTCTCATATCGGTCTAGATCACATTCTAACCCAGCCACTATATACTTGTAATGATTAGAACCGTTTTATCAACAAATGCTTGAAAGAAAAAGGTTTTTGATGCGTGACTTCAATTATAATGTGGTACACGTTGTAGCAAACCACGTGTTAATTAAAGTCGCTTTTGAAAGTGGTCTTGATTTCAATTTGTCGACAAGTTCTTTGCGACATTGTAATATCCATTTGAAATTTTACCACTTCACAGTATTTTTTATGAAGTCCCTATTTGATAGTAGACAAAATAGATGATAGTATTTCAGGTAATTCATTAGTTAAATATTTAGATAATCCATCAATAATCCTGGCTTTGTATGATGTTTTATTGTGAATCCAATAAAACAAACAATATTATCGGAGATTGTGTCAGAGTAAACAACATACATATATTATTATAACTGAATAAAGTGGTAAAGCAGTAACAACGATTTGGAAAATGAAAAAAACCTTTAAACACGTTAAAGAGATTCTTCGTGTATTTATGTAAAGAAAGAGAACAGACCGATTATTAAAATGAGAATGTATTTTCGAAGTTATATTGTTATTCTCGAGAATGTTGCTTTCATTGATAGTGTCGATTCCTATATCGAGTCTAACCAAAAATGTCAAGGTCAAACACCTGTATAATACTATAAATAAAGGTCATCTACGAAATATTAGCATATTTATCAGATTGTTTTTTAATCCCCTGTATGTCGACAGCTGTAATTGTGTCAGCCCACGTGTCCGTGTTTGCAATTGTGTGTGCACCCGAAGCCATTCCTCGGAAAGGTTTATACAAAATCCTGTAATCGCAGTCTGTGTGCCTGGAATCATTTCTCGCAGATGAACAAGCCTTTGTATTGGGATCATACATATTAGGTTATGTGTGCACGTCATATTTTTTGTTTAGATTCAAACAAAATAGACGACTGTATGTGTGTGTGATTACATTCGCCATGTTTTATTCAGTTTATGCAATTCTTGTCATACTGCAGTAAAATTGACCCTTTGGCAGACACGTATATCTGGATGTAGGTTGCATTGAACATTGATATCGATTGTCTGCAAGAAAAATGCATGTTTCTATTTTATGGCTATTAGAACTAACAAATAGTTAATAATAATAAATTATGAATTACCATATATTTCATCCAACTTGTCATGGGAAAAGTAGTATTTGATAAAGCATCATAGGGTCAGTTATGTAAGTATACCAACGTCATTTCCGTTATATGCAAGTGATTGGCATCAATATACACTCGACGGAATGAAATCATGTGAAGAAATTTAAGTTTATTAAAGTTATTTAGAAATTATTAAACATCATACATACGCTTTCGTCAAACCCGTGAAGTTTTCAATCCAGGGGAAGCAATCATTTGCAGCAGTGGAGCAATTTTCAAAAAAATGGCATTAGGGATGCGCGCTGTGCGCTGCTAAATTGACATTCTAGTTGTACAGATGTCATCGTTTGCGTTAACGAAAGCGACATTTCTAGTCCTCCCAGTAATTCTATGTTTTGAATTTGTTGAGACACGATAAATTATTTTTACAATGTAAACTGCATAGCTACGCTGATTGTCAGCCAAACATATTTTACTTTTAGTAAGCGAGGGTGAAACCCGTGTTTATGCCACGAGAAAGTGAAAACTTTGAACGTACCTTAGCTTAGCATGGTGAACGTATTTTAATGCAGTGAACTTCCCTAATAAGGTTTTAATGTTCTAGTTGTCTGTGGTGTCAGGAAAATTCATTGTTATGCTAATTGTATTTCCGGTATGTTAGTTAACAGATTTTTCGAATGTTCTCAGCGATAGAACCAAAACGTTATCGGCAAGACTCAGAAGACGACAGTGACAGTCACCAAAGCGTAATTGAAGGCAAATAAACACGTGAAGCGAAAAAGACTGTTTCGAGTCGTAGCATACAATAGGGGACGAAACCATTGTTGACTTTTGAAGGGAATGGGAATCGGTCGATTCGAGGGTGTCACACTAAGCGAGGGAGCACTCTGGGAAGTTCGAATTTACTAAACGAAGCTGATATATCTAAGAACAAACACATTCCAAAAATTATATCTCGAAAGTGAATATTCGTGGTGTATGTTAAGTAACCGGACAGGAAGTGAGATTTTGTTAGTACTCGAAATATCCAAACATATTTTAGTATAAGGTAGTCAGTATCTTTAATCGAAATTATAGTTATGAAATTGATTTCACCTCGTCTACTCTTTAATTTGAATGTCCTTAACATAATATAATGTATTATGATAATTATAATTATTGACAGTTGTACGTAATTTACACAGTCCATAAAGAACGGCACGGCAGTTGGGCACCATTTAAATAAATTTACAAGTGTGGTTTCATTCAAGCTGTTTTCAGAACTCACAGAACAAATCAGGTCATTGAACTACTTTTCAAAAATGGCGATTTTGGGGCCCTACATTATTAAACTTTATACGGTAAGGATGTCTCATCTTATCGCAAAATTACGTTTCCTATACTGAACAATTTACTTGTAGGATGAGTACTTCCGCTTGTCACGAAATTCTGACATATTCTGAATATGAGGTTATTACGAGAATACCGAAAAGTATGCACGAAGACAGTACAGCGGGGGTATCGACCGAAGCTAAATTGTTTCAATAATGCCTTTTTCTGTGACACATGTGAGTGCAGTTTTTCTCAGAAAATGATTTCATACTGGTAAAACATTATTTTAGAATTGCGATTGCCACTTAGTAGACTGTAGTATATATTAGTTCGATGTTAACGCTTATATTAATTTTATTAGACACGATTCAATTTGAACTTCATTTTAAAATGTCGTATCTGCCCACTTTACATCCACTGTGTGTGTTGACAGTGTACACTTGGGTATACAAGGGAACAAATACTGAATAATCGGAACTGAAGTAAAAACGTTAACATTTGAAAATATACACATCGCTACTTATAACTACGCGAGCAAGGTGCCCTCCCTGCCTAGAAATGGATTAGTCCAAATATTTCCGGTGATTCAAAGTCGACCCGTGCGCTAAAAGCGAGAACAGCTGCAATGTGAGAAAACAAGTACTCTGTAAAAAATTGCGATGTTTCACTCGTGTGTTAACGACAAAATAATAGAACAACATAATCGCGTAAGTTTCCATAATCTAGTAGATGAGCGGGGCGGGAGTAAATGTACGCTTTATAGCGATAACACGTACGCAGTTATCGCCGCGTCTGTGTGTGGAATCATTGATTAATTGCCAGTGTAAAATGCTGCGTTTGAAACAGTTTGGTCGATATCTGTCAATCCGTGTGTGTCCAAGACGCCGTGCTGGCTTCGCTCGTTATCAACTGCGGACAGGCCATTAAACACGTGTCAATCACCGCCGGGCTATCTGCTATCTCACTTATATGCAAATGAAGTCAAATTAATCGAATATTTCCGCTCTGAAAGTGTCTTTGAGTGCAGGTACGTCAACCGGCATTACGCCAACAGACATTCACGGATTGTATGTTGTTGGGGGTATAGGCTGTTGATGAGCCTTCTAGACGAAGTAAGAATATATATTGCGTGTTTTCAAAGGCGACGTACATGATGTGTACTAGAGTATACTTCTAAAACATCACCAAGCATTCTGGAATTGACTACGTTTCTCATCTACCTGTCACGTGCTACTGACATTGTGTTATCGCCGCCAGATTCCTATAACGAGTTCGCTGAGCATATAGTTTTGCATGCGAGCTTAGCTAGTTGATGGAGTATTCTGATTTCAATGCTGATAACGTTAATTGAACAGAAGTAATCTGCAAATGTACTGTATCTTATTAAGGCGGTTATGCAAAAATCTGATTATGACTAAAGAAATGAACTACAGAAGGCGCTACACCACGTACAGGGATTGAATGCAGTATTTCCTGAACGTGTATGGTAACGTTGCTGGGTGTTTTAAGTGTAGCTGTAGTCAGATCCTCGGTTTTGTCACGTATTGGTATGGCTCATAGCGCATGGTAGGTTGAGGAGTGTTAGTGATGTGCATATCGTTAGCTTAATACTAGCCACATAGAGATGCAATCTTCAACGCTTTGAAACGGTGGAGTAAGAGGAATCACTCTCCGCCATGAGTGCGCTACGGACCTTTTACGAGAAATTCCAGTTAAGCCGGTGTCTTTGCAATGATGAAAATCGATGTAGTTGTAACGAAAGAGCATCGAGAGCCGGGAAGATGGCTTCTTATTGCCTGATCGTCCTTGGTGTTTTAGTAACAGGACCTGGCATCTTGATGGCATCGTCCGGCCATTCTGGAAATTTACATCCCACCTATGCCGGCGTGGGTTTTCTATCGTTTGGAGGGATAATGGTCGTGATGGGACTAATACTCTGTGGAGTTAATCGTTTAAGAAAGCGTCATTGTAGGAATCCCCATGATGCAACGACGTTTAACCAACAGGAATTCTGTGTCGTCACCGAGGATCCCGACGGATTCGAGGACTATGTCCAGCGCAGAGGTCTTCCTCATAGTGAATCGATGCCAGCGAGTGCTGCCGCGCCGTCGACCGACCAAGGTGTTATCAGATGCTACGTTTTACCGACAAGCGTTAGTTGGCCAAACACTTCCAGGTAATATATATATAAATATTATACACAATGGTTTTACTCTGAGTAACACACCACTTAAACATGATATATCAATCCATGCCGTTGACCCCAGGTTCATGATCAATAATTGAATCCCATTATGTGGATGCAGCAGTGTTAACGTGTCGTTATACGTCACTAATAATTTCCAAATATTACTGAAGCCGAATAACCACCAGTTTACCTGTATGATCTTTGTTCAACCAGCAATCCGTGCAATTGCAGCGAGGTCATTGACAATTAACATTCGCCCACTATCTCAATGAGTGAATTTGGGTTGTATTTTGGGAACTTCCAATTTTCAATGGTAGCCATATCAAACAGAACCGTCTGACTTTTATTGGTTAAAACACACCCCATCCCTCGAAAATGTTCTAATTAAAATTGGATTTATCTCAAGTAAACGAGTGGTTATTCTAAAATATGTCCAAAAGTCAGATAAACCACTAACCGCGACCAAGGGTTTGTTAAAGATATCAGACATGCCAGTTTTAAAATTATACCTTTGAACGGAACAGTTTATATTAAGGCAGTGCGAAAGTCGCCGCATTGAGTGTGCGCATACTCTTTATTCAATCGATACGGCCATAAATGCATCTTAAACGAGAATGTAACGTGGCAGTTGTAGCCAGTAAGAGGAGATACAGACGTATTAAATGTTTGAACCTGAAATGAAAATGTCGCCCTACAGTGAAATCTACGATAGTACTATCATCAATTACAGCGTCGTCAGAACGAACAGTATTCAAGATGATTTTTAAATCTCCGGCGGCTGGGAATAACCACAATAATCCAAATTCCATGCCAGTGAATGAATAAATAAATAGACGTGAAGAGGTTATATTTCTTCATATAAATGGTATCAAACATATAATTGTACCTGGTATTTTCATAGCGATATTCGCACATACGCTGCATTTCAGTTAATTAATTGGCACATCATCTAATGACGCCGTTGAATACCATTTGTATCTGCTATCCACAGAGGCTTCCAAAAGGCGGTGTGTCAATTTAATAGTTATTCGATAACTTTGATCAACTGAAAGAAATATAGTGAACAGAACCATTCATGCACTTGTATCCATGCCACGGGGTTTTCCCATAATCCATGTTTATCTGAAGTTGGGACAAGAATTTGATGGTGTATAATAGAACCAAATATTATTCTAGTATGTTCATGAAAAAAGGGGGTTATCAAATGCCTTTGCCATTATTGTCGCGTTGTGCGTTTTATTATTTGTTTTGTAAAAATCAATATAATCTAAGAACTTACTAATACAATCAACAAGAGTAACGTAGCAATTTTTGTACCAGTAAAATCTCTATCAGAATGTTTCGAAAACACGTGATAACTGTCCGAAACACAATGTTATCAGTTACTTTCCAGGATTATTCGAGTTAAAAGACATGAAGCAGATGTTTCCAATCTAATGAACATTCGAAGAGCATTAAAAAGATATTTTTTTTCAAATATCGATTTGTATTCGCCCTGACACTGTCATGTATGACTGAACGGGCGTTAATGACGTATGGTATGTGCTATATCGCACTGTATTTATTTAACGTTTAAACAAGCAAAAAACTTGTCACTTGTCATAACTAGAAATTATGCACGACATTGATATGACAACGTGAATAAACAGAGCGATTTGCATAAATTCAATCCGGGCAATTGTTAAACAATGAACAACACATTGACACAGGGATTTATTTTCTGTTCAGTAACACTGTAACTGTCCCAGTGAATACAACATTGGCTTATGTTCCTTCGTGTATTTTGATTTAATTTTGCAATATTCTGAATTTGCCATAGACTGAAAATGAACAACTTACTGCGGTCGGTAACAGTCAAACGTTGGCGTAAGTTTCCTTCAAACACGTTCTTTCATCATATAACAAATATAAATGGCTATTTTAAGCCAAATTACATGCTTAGTAAATCAATTTTTTATTATCACAATGAGAAATAATATAATGTACACTTGTGAACTTTATCCCGAGCGCTTCCCACAAATTGAATAATGGGCTTGCTCATAAAACTCAACAGGTGGTCTTTTTGCTTATATGGATATGGCTAGACATCGGTCATATTGCAGTTTATAATGCAGAACGAAATGATTTGCATGTGTGGCTAATATTGCATTCGTTAGATATAAATTAACGTATTTAGTTTTTACATGTAACAAATGGCCACCGGTCGGCCATAATCTAATGGATTGTAGCACGACGAAATTTATGTTCACTTTACGATGCTGTAATAAGTTAACCAACTCCCTTTCAACCTTCGTAAGAATATTAAATTTATCAAATGCATTATTAAAGAATTCCAATATAATCCGACAGTGGTTTATAATGAAAAAACTGTATTTATATGAATAAAGTCAATTTAAACCTGCATTTTATTGACTAACTTGTATATCGATTCAGAGAAAAAAACGACTAGCGCAATTCTGAAGGTTTGTTTATTTCTCTTTCTCTTTGTAATTGCCATCAATATCTGTAAATTCAAAATGGCTGTACAACACAATACAGTCACTTTGGACATAGTATTACATTGTACATAGTATTAAGGTTTTACAGTTTAACATTTTCTAAGACCGCCAAGTTAGAATTTGGATGAAACCGGCATCGAATCATGCTTAAATTGAAGCAAGTGAAAAATCCCCAACAACATTTACAAGTCTGTGTCGATGAATATTCATTTTTGTAAAATTCAGATTAACTTGACCCTTTTAGTAAATGTTTAATTAGAGCACGTTTATTAAATTGACATATTTGTATGATTTTTTTTTAAATAATTATACATAACCACGCAATAACATAACCACATTCATAACACTTATCTCATTATAAAAGGTGTTACTTTGCGAAAGATGACGTTGCGACACGTGTTATTATATTGTGTGCGGCAAGTGATACACCGTACGTAAACAAACTGATTTGCCAGTCTGGAAGCGTTCTACAACGTCTGGGTTTATTGTAGCGTTTAGCATGAATACGGTAAATTAATAAAGCTTTCGTATCTAGTGAAGATTTATATACGTATTAGTTCACCAGTAGAATCACAAAGTAACATATAATTGAGTTATTTTATGCCATTAATGCATGGTTCGGAGATTGCACGTCAACGTAGAGTAAGTGACGTGTGTATTAATACTGAACATCAAAACCGTTCATATAACCGGTTTAATCATAATTTCTGGAATTAAAATTGTACGCATTAATTAACAATCATTTGTTCAGTCTCTCGGAAGGAGCAGTTTAAAGGGTTAGCCCAAGGGCATAAGGTTAATCAGATTGTACAAACTAAAATATATTTACACGCAAACGCCAGTTATAATCTATCATCCTTTGTACTTGACAGATGAACTTGCTAAAGCGGGTCGTTTAAGGAATCTTGAATAATTAATTGACATTAGTGATTGATGCGTACTATAGAAAGCACATCTTCAATTAATGCGAATGTAGGAGTGTAACTCGCGACAGTACGAGCTCCATGCGAAATAATTGCCTTACCCTGAAAGGTAAAATTACACATTTAGACATTCTGCGCACGTCGGGCGTAGATGGGAATTATGCGGACAGATCGCTTGTTAGTTAATGAAATATCGTATGCACTCTCGAATGAGTTTGGGAACGGTGGATATGTACATGGAAATCCCCATAGCTGAACAGTTAATTAGGTTCCCGACTCATCCGTTCGTAAAATTGGCGTCTACCTGAGCATATTGAAATTTACTCATCAGCTTAACTATATATATATACCTCTAAGTACAAAGTGGGTGCATAGTGATCTTTTCTGACCTCATTACATATTATTTCCTGATGTTACATGTTGACATTTACATAATCATCGATAAGTTATGTGCCTGAACGACTCATGTGACATATTTTCTTATTTATATTGATAATCATTGCTTTTGAGATGTGCTCGTACGAGGGTGAGAAATTTAGAAAAACTGCGTTTTATATCTCAAAACATGTTTCATATAGGAGATTTATTTTCCCTCGTATGTATCGAGTATGACTTCATGGATTTCAATGCAAAACGATAGAAAATGTCAGTGTTTCATGAAAACGTTCAAATATGCATGAGTATGGTCGTTACAGTTCCTATTTTAAGAGCACTTAGTAATACAGGCATACAATTTTCTCAAAAACGAGGTCGCTGACCCCCGACTTTTGGTATTACTATTATGTTATAATAGAATATTCTCTCTATGTGTGTTTCTGTATTGAACATCTTAGTCAATTGGAATAATGTTTCGCATATTGGTTTTAATTGGAAAGCTAAAATTTGAGTTGTGAATGTTATAGAAGAAATAGAATATGAAAAAATTAACAAATTTTTCAACCGATCACTAGTAGCATCAGACTCGTGATCGGTAGACCCTAGTTCAAATCCTACCTTAGGCTGAACACATCAAAAGGGTGACCCTTACCCTGGGTGAGTATGCCACAGACTCAATGGGAAGGCCAATTCATTCACTAACGAATGCGACTTTGTTGGAACCTTGGTTAAGGTCCGCGGGTGCTTGTGTTTGACCGAGCCTGGTTAACGCCAGGATAGCGCATTACATTGCCATTTGATAGAGAGATGGCCGCACAGCCCTGTCATGTAGTCCCAAACATAAATATGACTTCTGTGTCAAAATGCACTATATGTCAGCACTAGCACTTGCAATTTGCATATACAATAAAATGTCAGGAGAGACAACAGTGACACTCAATGTCCAGAACTGTCGCCTGGCACACACAAAAAAACAATTTAAAAAACAAAAAAAAAACACAAAATAACATTACTTTCAGATTAACAAACGTACAAATACGACTATTACTATTTATTTGCCAAATGAAATGTTCATGTGTGTTTGACAATTAGTATTTATTTATTTACCACGAAACAGAAATGTATGCGAAGTTTTAGAATAGTAAAATGTTCACGCAAATTCTGTTTCATAATTGTTGGTCAAAATGTTGTT